CCCCCCCCCCCCCCCCAGTGTTATATACTTCATCAAGTTATGTGTCATTTAAAACCTGATACTTATCACATTACGAGTTCAAAAGTTCAAAATAATTTACAGTGAAAATGAACTACTAAATACATCAGACCACCCATTGTAATGCTTGATTATATAATTACTAGAACACAGATTTCCCCAGGATAGGTCAGTGGTATCTAACGTTACAATCAGGACATTATAATGGTATCTATAAGTGGATTATGGCATTTATAGTTGTTATGAGTGCCATCTGAATAAGGATACATATTATAACAGTGGCAGATCCAGAGACCAATCTGGGGGTGGGTTTCCAAATTTCCAGGGGCAGTTTCCATGTGGGGAAAAATTGAGGAAAATGGTGAAAATACATGATTTTTAAAGTAAATTCTCGGACTGGGGCGGTTTCCTGAAACCCCCCAAAAAACTTTGGATCTGCCATTGTATAATACCATAGACCAGTAAAGATATGATATTGAATTCAGGGTCCTACAATTGCAAACATAGTGCTTTTTGAGACATATATATGGTACGTATCTTACTTCTTCACGGAAACATGAAGATATAGTAACATTTACATGTTTATTTGTTTATTGACATTTAATGATAATGGCATTACATACAGTGACAAGTTTGTTAGATAATGCTTGAGGTGGAAACACGAAGTATTACTTTTACACAGGCAACAGACGCCTTTCAGAATGTATTTCTCACAACACCAAATAAAATTGATTAAAATTTCGTTATTTAGTTTGTGGATATGTAAACATTACAGGTAGATGAATTTTCAATGTTTAACATATTGTGATTTTGTTTGCCTCTATAAGCTAAAAATTGAATTGAATTTGACCCTTTCACCACTGAAGACCATCAAGGACTCAACCAGATCAATGTATGGTAGAGTTTAGTAAAGTTAAAAAGGGGTACGTGAAAGGGTTAAGTTATATCTTACAAAGATGAAGTAGAATAAATGGGATTGTTTCCATTGAAATGAGATGAAACATGGTTTATTTCATGGAACACCATATGGCTGTCCCATGTCATGTAGCGTCCATCGGCTTGAAGGACTTTTTACATACCAGAGTGACATACATTCGAAATGTACTTAGTATTTGTTTGATTCACCAAACAGAATGTAATGAGATACTGAAAAGTAACAAGATACTATACATGTATACTACAAAGAATATTACACAGATGTTTGTTTGAAAATAAACTGATAATATTTTTACCTCTGGAGACTTGTAATATTTATGTAGAATGTTTATGAAGTCTGTTATCGTCAGCATACCTGTAAAAAATAAAAATAATTAGTCAAAATTTCTCAAGAACATAAATCATCTTCTTAAGATGTCAATATATATCTGTGAGTTTAACATGTGTTACAGTCCCTTAAAGATGTGATCAATAATAAATACTCAGAATTACTATTTGTCTTTCTATATACACAAACACTTTTGTGGGGTTTTTCATGTATTTCATTGAATATTGATTCCTTTTATACTTCTGTACGTTTCAAGGTTCAACAAATTAGAAATATTATAAAAATAAACATGAGTCAATATTTGACTTAGTGTAATATTGTTGGCAGTAATACACGACTATTTATTGTACCAGACAACTATATATACATCTAGATGTCTATGTATACAGTCCCCCTCACTTGAACACACAAACTTGAGATGTTCATTACATAATATACAGATGTTTATTGTACCCGTGTTGACCTTCAGACTTAAAAATATAGGGAACCTATGAAGTAAAAATATTTGACAAAGCAACTATTTGGACAGAAACCAGATCTTGACATCAAAGGTAAAAATCTACTTCACATCAAGGTAAACAAACACAGACAAACTGGATAAACAGTTTGTTCAATGATGTACACTGCACGTAAATCTTACAACATTACCTGATATCATTATTGTTACCTGCATGACTGTTAAATCTTAAAATGGTCATGTCTTACCAGTCGCTGTTCTTTTTCTTTACAGAAACACCACTCTAGGTGAGAATTAAATCACAATTATTGATAGTGTAGATAAGAACTTGTATTTAAAATTTATACCAAGAAACATAAAATCACGAACCATTGTTGCAAGAACTTTGATCAAGAATCCAATTTTACAACGATCTTGCCAATTAGAAGGGACAAATTTTATAAAAATAATATATTTTTTTTTATGAAAACTTGAGGTTATACACCAACATTTTGCAGGCTTTGACAAGAAACTGTTCTTACAAAAACATTGAAAGTGCTAGAAGACCATTCTTATAAGAACTCGGAAACACCCAGCTACAACATCAGAAGGACGATTATTTCTCTGATCCAGATACTAGGCAGTTTGATACAGTAAACATGGGTGGGGACAGTGACCTCGGTTAACACTTGATATATACAGACACAGGTATGGTGATTAAACTTGTATATATACTCTGAAACACCTGGTATAAACATCTCCTTAGATAACCCACATCTCCAATAACTGCCCTCAAGATTGTATACATGTAACAGACTCATATACAACAGAGTTACAATTTCAACAGTTCATACAATTTAAGTTTCCGTTTTGAATCCGTCCAAATATTGTGAAATAATGTAAACATTTAAAGTCATATTATAATATAGCAATAAATACACTAATCAAATTTTGACTACAGATCTAGAGCCCTGTCTGTATAAGAGAAATATAAAGGTATCTCATAGACCTGGGGAATCAGACAATAGTTTATTGACCCTAAAAGTACATTAGACCTGCTGTTATAATCAGCATGATCTGATTTTCTTATATTCTTATACTACAAACTGTCTTATTTATTATGTTTTCATTAATATGTTTTGTTAGCGTGATTTACTGATTAAGAAGTATATTGGAATGACCTACCTACTTAAGTGACCTATATTTATACTTACCAACATAATCCTGTCTGTGATATGACTTGCTGACATAAGTGACCTATTTATTTATTTTTACATAAATGACCTGTGTTTAAGTGACGTATCTTTTACCTAAGTGACCTATGCTTAAGTGACCTATATGTATACATATTTACATTTGCATGGCATTGTCACTATAAAGCCTCTTTGCAAGCTGTGTCGTTGATGGGACTTTAATTACCATGTAGCACGAGACACAGTTCTTATCGTATTAATACAACACTGACCGGAACTACAATACCCAATGTAAATAAACATGACGGCTGTTGAAATATCGCTGGACAATGCAATTCAGAAATATTGTCTGTTTGATCAACAGGGGTTCGTTACAAATGTCTGAAATACACATATTCTATAGACCTACTGACACTTACATGTATGTTACAGACCTACTGATATGAGTCACAGCACACATAAACATTTCAGACATTTGTAACGAACCCCTGTGCTCCGTCGCATACTCACTCACTTCAAACGCTATCAGTTTCATGCGCCTCGCAGCCACAATTTCCTCCTGCAATTTCTGACGACATGTCAAATAACGAGTCTGCTATAGAATCTACCGACTGTGGTCAGCTTCCCATACAATCAACAAATAAATTCACGTCTGGATTCTTCACAAAATGAGCAAAGAGAAAAGTTCGAACTGACTTCCAAAAATAACTCCTTCGTGCACGTGGAGGGAGGGCAAGGTCGGATTTGCGGTGTTCACTGTATTTATCCATGCGCGAATTTTGTTCCGGGTAAAAATCGAAACAATTTCAAATTTAACTTTCAGCTCAGAGTTCTATTGATAAACTAAGAATACAATCTGTCTACAAGATACAATTTTAATTATCACACAGAAAGATGAGTTCACGACATTAAATTTACGTGAAATATCAGTAAAATAACGCAGTCAGAAAGTGGCCAGTCTTGAAATTGTCTGAATGCCCACTGTATATTGGAATTTTTTGGTTGCAGTTAACGTTTTGCTTTCTTCACTCGTCAAAATTCCGGGGAATATATCATGACATAAAATAGCAGTGAAAAACACATACTATTCATAGTTATTACACGTGAGGCGTGAAACAAACACTAGGCAAACACAGATTTTAACTGTGAAGGGCGAAAGTTTGACCAGGCAAGATTTTTCCAGTATACTGTATGAATTATATTATTTACAGGAGCAACTTGGAAGTTTTTTTTTTATTAAATAATGTATTTCCTTACACGTACCACAGCTTATAAGCACTGTATATGCGTGGTCGTGTTCTTTTACTTACATAAAAAAAAACCAGAAATCGCAGAATCCGTCTGTGAGTGAGGATGTAGATTGCGTTGCCCGACGGTCTGTCGATGACTGGAAGTCTGTGTACATGTTTGTCAATCAATGTCTTGATAGCGTCAAACAAACTAGCTTCCAGGTCAATGTACACAAACGGTTTCTGTTTGTCCTTCAGCTCCTCTATAGAAAAGAACAGTTATTTGGAAATTATATTTAAAAAACAAACCACTAGAAATTGTTGGCTTACAAATTTGACGGGCTTTTCACTGTGAGGACTGAATTTGCCTTCTAATAGTAACTTGTGCAAGTCTACAGTAGCTGACTGAGTAGTGGGGGATTCCCAGAGTGCGAAATGACGTGAGAGAAAAAAGTGGATAAATATAGGCAGCCAACGGATGGTGTTGTAGACGAAGGTAGTCCGTAGAAGTCATATAGTCCGTCGACTATGTACATGAGGATGATGAATTGAAACTAGCATTTTGTCTATATCGGTTGGGTTTGCCATGCAAAAGAAAGGCTGATGATACCCACCGCAGTAGAGATGTAAACTATCCCTACTTTTAAGATTGAGAGTGCGTAGGAATTGGTGTAGTATTACCAGCGTGTATTAGACGTCTTAATATAAATCAAAGTACTGAGAGTACTGAGAACACTTCAAATCGCACAAAAATGAAAACGGTTTCTGACTTTCACTTTTGAAATTATGTTAAGAGTAGGTCAAGGTCATTCATTTGCACACACTTGAATCTATCGAACAATTTTCGAAATATTATTGATTAGGATAAAAAAAAACACTTGACCTTTGCGACCTTGATAGTTGATCAAGGTCAACCATTAGTTTAAACCTGATACCCAGACATTTCAGCATCTTAAAATTGAAATATACAAGACTCTAGACCTTGTGGAAAGTTAACCTTTGACACAAAAATGATTCCCGAGAAAAGTTTTTTATTTTTTATTCTGCACAACATATCCAAATATGAATTGAATACATGGATCCGTTAATGAGGTGTTGCAATTAGGAGAAAAATTCAGAACAAAATGGCTTACTAGAAGACTACGCTATGGTTTGTTATGGAAAGAATGTAACCAATCTGTGCATTCATATTGATAATAACCGTTTATCAGGATTCAAATATTTGATTTGGGTTGATAATTGCCTACGTCCTACCTAGCAATGAAGGTAAAAATCGAAAATTGTCTATATTATTTAAATAGCAACTTGAAACGCATCAGAGAATTTTGAATCGTTACCACATGTAACTTTATATTTATATATAAAAGAAAAATCATATCTTTCTTAATTCTGCAAAAATGTTTATAGCTAAACGTTAAACAAGAAACACGATTAAATCTTCGAAAGATAAATAAAGTCTCTCAAAATAGACTTAAGCCAAAAAGGTTGGGAACATATACTACACTGCCGTCTCGAAAATCACTCTAATTAAGTGTGATAAATCACGATTTGTAAAAGGCAAATCTATCAAATAATTAGACATAGGTATAGCTACTATAACACTCCTAGATGACCAATAATTGCATCATATTGTGATAAATCACGAGGTCAACTGGTGTCAAAAAGTTTAGCTTTTTGTATAAATGGTTATTTTTTAAATTAAATATCCCTCAGGAAAAATATTTCTCTGTTCCAACACTTTTTCTTGCCTCTGAACCCTTTGAAAATTAATGGAATGATCAGGTCCCTTCTGTAACACCGATCATCATTCTCATACCATAACCAGCAATATTTTCTTTTTATTCGTTGTTTTCTACTCCTGTCCTCAAAACAAAAGTAGCACTTGAAAGAAATGTCTCGAACTTGCATTCTCGAACAGCTAATAACAATTAAGCAGTCAATAATGTAACCTTTGTAATTTGTAGTTATTATAAGAAGGACCACTCTTTGATGGCCGAAAATAACATAACATAGTGATGAATAACGAAGCAAACATAAGGTTATGCTGTTTACTCTTAAAAGTGAATTTTACTTACACTATTACAAGGGGAAAACAACCAATTTTTATTTGACTCTAAACCCTTTAAAAATAAAACGAATGAGCAGATCTTCCTCTCTAACACCGATCACGTCTTTCACTCTACAACCAGCAATATTCATATATTTATTCGAGTTTTAGTAATAAGTATGGCCATTGTAAAGTGGTTGACAATCACTCTTGAATTCTCAGTGGTGACCAGAAACCTATGAATCAAATGTTGTCTCTGTAATCACATTTCAACGTCTTGTTTTGCAGGTTTGCAGCATCAATGAATCAATGGTTGATGGTAGCTCTGTCTTCACAAGTGGATGTGTCCTAAAAACGGTAAGATCAAATGTTTACTTCAGCGTTTACACAAAGAAAACATATTGCCGTACATGATTGTGATCACATCTAATGTTTATATGTTAATATTGTATTGGTGAGAACGGTATAACATTTATACAAGCAATGATCCAATATAAAATCAGAACCCACTAGTTTTCGGAAATATATTAATGTAAAATAGTGATGCGAATCTTATATCTAAATGTCATCTTGACAGAAACTATTATAGTCTAGCGACGTTTCGATCCACTCAATTTACTATTTTATTTTTCAATCGGTACAAAAAAACAGACAAACGGAAGCGAGCAATCGAAATGAAAACGGAGGAAAATCATGCACGACGATAACGCTTATCCTGCACCGTATGTGGCACCGCGATGCATAGTGTAGCGACATCATTGGAAATTATATTATGTGCTGTTAATCATAATCTGAAATGTTTTACTAGTGTATGCACAACCTTTAATGTAAATGCTATAATTTGTTTTTCTTTATCCTCAGACGTGTCCACAACCCCAATACTTGTTAGGGAGGGACGCTGCTTCACGTGAGCAGGACCAGCCGGCCAGTCTCTGCCATTCCTGCTGTTCTAACGACTACTGTAACACGGAATGTCAACGAAGTTTTTGAAATGTTTATTTTCTTTCTGCATCATATACATGATATACATTGCCTTAATAAGGTGCATACATTGTATTACAATATAGAAATTCATTTGTTTTGCTTCTTCATTTTCAACAAGATACAAGTATTCTGCTCTTGTTTGGTAAATTCTTACAATTTTGTTAAGCTCTAAAGGGTTTTCATACCTACATGTATCATTGTATTTGGTTGGACTGTTGGTATCCATTTATACGGCATGTTCCGTTTGAAGAGAGAATACAGATTTGCTAGTTCGTTCCAATTTATAACCTTGACCCATTTTCTATATAGGTTACAGATATCCATCATCAGTTTTGTTTTCTTGGTGAAAGCTTTTTTCGGTTCCTCTTTTTTTATATTTGCATCTTGTTGACCAAGACATTTCTTGAAAAAGCTTATTTCGCAAGGAGATTTGATTTACCTCGAGGTATTAAGCAGGAGGCGTGTGGGGTTATGTTGTCGTTTTCTATGAACGTCATCTTAATGTAGTGGAGAATTATCCTTTAATTTTCCTGTACCTTGTGACTTTGTCTTTCTGATCATTACTGTAGAAATCCATCCTGTGTATACAATAACATGTCATAGTGTCTGTACGTCATGTAGACTACCGACACTGTAGAAATCCATCATGTGTATACAATAGTAGACTACTATAGAAATCCATCATGTGTATACAATAACATGTCATAGTGTTTGTACGTCATGTAGACTACTGTAGAAATCCATCCTGTGTGATAAGAAATGATGAAGTATCCCTATTAGATGTTTTGAAATCTATTAAATCACCTACAGCAGATACATATTTATACAATTGAAGGCATCGATTCATACCTGAGAAATGAACTTGTTCTCATTTAATTGTTGATATCTGTTGTTTTGATTCTAGAGTTAGTTACCTGTTATAAGTATACTCCGTATGAATAAATGTAACGTTTTCCACCCCGTCGCCGTATTTCTGGCCAACGTGTTGTGGTGAACAAACACTTTATGGGAGAAACAGCGAAACAGAGCAGGTTACATAAATTCAGGTTCGCTCCTGTCCAGTATCTTGGAAGTTGAAAGAAGTTGACAAAAACTTGAATACAAATACTTAGTTCATTTAATATTAAATAATGGATAGTATTATTTACAATATAATGTGATAATCATTACCGCTATATCATGATATAAACACTATTGACGGTATTTTGGGAGAAATCTAGTCTGGAATTTCGGAATCAGTAACTTATTCTTAGGTCGAGTTGCTTCCCTTGTATCGTGAATTATAATCAGCTTCACTATACATAGTATGTAATCATTCTTGATTATGATTAGTTATGTAGCTGCGAAGTTAGTTTTCCTTCTTGGGTCATATCGTCTGCTTTTGGGAGTATCCCATAATGCATCACGCCCATTACAGTTGCGAAGGTAAACAAATATCTTCATCTACCGTAACTTGAGTAAAGTTACCTCAAATACACAAAAACATCAGCTATGGTAATTATTGCACTACTATGAAATGCCTACCCATCGCTGGAGTGGTCGAGACGACATTTCTGGTTGATGTGTCTGGTATAAATAGAAAGTCTGCACTGCTCTAAGTCAGTCGGAGGAACGAGTCGGTTGCTACTGAATCCGCCGGATTTTATACTTTCTGCCTGGGTTGCATTAACCAATCAGCATCGAGCAATGACGTCACTTTTGAAGTCCGCCAA